AGTTTATTAAATACATTTAGCCTTTTACCTTTTAATATTTAAATGTTTATATCCTATGAACAGGAGTGTTTCTTTATATACAGTTCCTCCATCAAATTTTAGCATTGCTACAGTGTTTCTAGAGTTCATATTCACAATTTTATGAATGTGGAATTTACCTCAATAGTGTCACCACAGGTGGTGTCTTTCATTGCATAGTTTCCCTTCCAGTACAGAATCATCACATACTCCATTTGTTTGACATGTCTCTTTATTCTCCATTAGCATAGAATTTTTCTTTTGCCTTTGTCTTCCAAACTATTGTCAATTTTTGGGGAAAAAGTTACTGTAGAAAATGTTTTTCAATTTGAGTTTGTTTCCTCATGATTAGATTCATGTTATAGATCTCTGATTGGAATGCTAGGTAAGTGAGGGTAGTTTTTTCTCAAAGTAGCACATGCAGAGTTACATGGTATCTGTCTCTCCCTTATTGAAGCTGTTGATTTTGATCACTGAGTCCAGGTTTTGCCCATTTCCTCTTGCTACTGTTGCTGTGTTTCTTCTAGCAGGTGAATAACAGACTTTGTGGAGACATGGTTAAGACCATGTGCAAATAATAGCCTGTTCCTTATCAACCTTTCCCCTTAGAATTAGGATTCATCGACGATTCTCGTCTTAACTAATCTTTACTGTGTTGGTTGCAAAATGAAGATGTTCCCATTCCATACTATTTTCTCTTAGTCTTTTTATCATTGCCATATTACTAAGTATATTTTAAAAAGATTATTCTTACTAGTGCTCTAAGAAATAAAAATCAAACCTAAGAGAGAGATTCTTTCATTGATTAAAGTGGTATTTTTTAAAGTCAGATTTTGAGGAAGCAGGTCTTTTAACACTGCTGGTGGAACATAAATCTTTGTGAACTTTGTGCAGAGCAGTTATGAGCAGATGGTATAAAACTCCTTTTAACATTTTTCTAGATATTTCTTTGACCCAGTAGTTTCACATCTTTGTGTTTATTTTAAGAAAGCTAACATGGATGTGTATACAAATTCAGGTATAAGAATGGCTCTGTGTAGCATTAAGATAATAAAGATTTGTAGAGTAAGTAAAATGCAGGACCTATCCAGTGAATTGTTGTAGCCAATAAATTTTATTACAGATATTCACAATAAATTTTTTTGTGTGTATGTGTCCCTACAAGGTAGTATATTTAGTGTTCTGTTCTTGATATCAGAGAAACAAATATAAGTTATGGTTGTGACCCTAAATGGGTCACTAATTTTCTTGTCTGTGTGAAAATTTTATAATTTAAGGAAATTTAATGGTGGGAATTGCTTGGATCAGAGCAAGGCTAAATGAATATGAGTAAGGTACAGTTTTTAAGTTTGAGGCTCAGGGAATGGAAGGTATTGGGGAAGATGGGCAAAAATTAATCATGTCAGCTTTTAGTACTAGGGACACCGGTGGTTTACTTTCAAACACAAGGTTTCCACTATCCAAAACTCAAATGTATAATGTGGAAGTGCCATCTTCCCAGAGCTCATTTTCCCTTTGGTTTTCCCTTTTACCTTATCCAGTTATCTCGTGCCTTTGCTCCTCTTGGCTGCAGTACTGGGACTTCTCACTTGGTTATGGGTCAGGGAAATGACTGATATGCAGGTAGGTATAGTAAGGCCCTTAATGTATTTACTGGACAGGATTGAGGTACAGTTGGCAGTATGTGTAGATACTGAGTTTCTGTACAGACATCTTTGTGGGTGTAGTTTGCTAGCATTGCAGCAGTTAAACTGAGGTCACAGCAGGCATAGGTTGGGATGAAGGTATTGGCCATTAGATTGGAGGGAATAGGACAAAGCTAGCTGGAGCTTGTATAATCAGCCACCCACATGGACTTGAAAGCCCTTGGGAAAAGTGCCCTGTGGTGAGTTCCCCCCACACCCTTTAGTTGAGATTATTTGAAGTGAATGTGTATTAGAGGTAGAGAAAAAAGTTGTTCATTATTAGCTCTCTGTGGTTTTTTTGTTTTTTTTTTGACTCTCAAGATCATTTAGTAATTTTAAATGGTTTCACTTTTTAAATACTTGTTAGGAGTTAGTGTGTAGATATTATTTAACAAGGGTAACTTTATTTTAATTAATATATCGCTGGTATACAATCATAAGAAGGTTTCACATGGTCAACATTGTGGTTTCAACATTCACCCATATTAGCAAGTCCCTCCCACCCCCCATTGCAATCACTGTCTATCAGTGTAGTAAGATGCTATATAATCATTATTACTTCTCTTCTTCATGCTATACTGCCTTCCCTGTGACCTACCTATATTGTGTGTGCTAATTATAATGCAAAGGTAACTTTTTAAAAAAATAAAAATAAACTGTTTTAGAGTAACTTTAGGTTTACCAGAAAGACCGTTCCAGGGATAGCTAGTTCCTGTATATTCCTCACCTTGTTTTACTATTGTTGCAATCATGATACCACTGAAAACTAAGAATCCAAATTGGTATATTGCCAGTAATTCACTGCTCAAATGAGTTACTTATCTAATTTTTTAATGGCAAAAATACTACAAAAGAACACCTAAAAAATGCAGTAATTTTGTTTGTTTTAAAGATTTTGAGTGTAAAAAGCCACTGGAAAAGGATTTTCTACAGAGGTGACTAATTTTAGTGTTTGAAAGTTTGTTTTGTCTTTTTTTATTTAATTAAAGTATCATTGATATACAATCTTATGATAGTTTCACATTCACAAAACTGGGTTCAGCCTTCACCCCTATTACCAAGACCTCACCCCCTTTATTGCAGTCACTGTCTATCAACGTAGTAAGGTTATAGTAATTGTACTCTACCTGCTGTGCTAACATCCCAGTGACCTATTTGTGTTGTGTTTGCGAATTAGAGTGCCCCTTAATCCCCTGCTCCCTATGCACCCATCCTCCCCGGCCCTTCCCCTTTGGTAACCACTAGTCCCTTCTCTGAAAGTTTCTTTTACCTTAAAAATTTTGTTAAAACCATTTTTTAATTTCTGTTAAAAAGGAAGTAAATTTGTCTTGTCTTTACCATACTTAACAGCCTTTTCTCTTCAGAACTGACTGTGGTATCTTCTTAGAGTTGACAGTAGAATATTTTTTGCTTTTTTGACAGCAAGACTGCTTCTAAGTTTGTTTGGGCAGTTGTTTCCACTGCTTCCTGTTCTTCTACTTCCTCTTGTGTTGGTTACTCCATCTCCCCAAGGGGAGGACAATTCAAGTGAGTCAATGACGATGAACAGAAAAACTTTAGGCCTTTTGGCAAAGGAATGGGACCTTTACATTATTTAATTTAATGTTTCTTTACCTTACGGGAATAGGTTATATACTTTTGAGAGGTCTAAATTAAGAGTCCTTTTATTTTTTTAAGTTAATTACCATAATGCTATAGTGCTTAAGAGCTTTTATCTTTTTGCACCAGAGTTTGGCATCTCACTTAAATTTTGGTAGAGAAAAAAGTTGTTCATTATTAGCTCTCTGTGGTTTTTTTGTTTTTTTTTTGACTCTCAAGATCATTTAGTAATTTTAAATGGTTTCACTTTTTAAATACTTGTTAGGAGTTAGTGTGTAGATATTATTTAACAAGGGTAACTTTATTTTAATTAATATATCGCTGGTATACAATCATAAGAAGGTTTCACATGGTCAACATTGTGGTTTCAACATTCACCCATATTAGCAAGTCCCTCCCACCCCCCATTGCAATCACTGTCTATCAGTGTAGTAAGATGCTATATAATCATTATTACTTCTCTTCTTCATGCTATACTGCCTTCCCTGTGACCTACCTATATTGTGTGTGCTAATTATAATGCAAAGGTAACTTTTTAAAAAAATAAAAATAAACTGTTTTAGAGTAACTTTAGGTTTACCAGAAAGACCGTTCCAGGGATAGCTAGTTCCTGTATATTCCTCACCTTGTTTTACTATTGTTGCAATCATGATACCACTGAAAACTAAGAATCCAAATTGGTATATTGCCAGTAATTCACTGCTCAAATGAGTTACTTATCTAATTTTTTAATGGCAAAAATACTACAAAAGAACACCTAAAAAATGCAGTAATTTTGTTTGTTTTAAAGATTTTGAGTGTAAAAAGCCACTGGAAAAGGATTTTCTACAGAGGTGACTAATTTTAGTGTTTGAAAGTTTGTTTTGTCTTTTTTTATTTAATTAAAGTATCATTGATATACAATCTTATGATAGTTTCACATTCACAAAACTGGGTTCAGCCTTCACCCCTATTACCAAGACCTCACCCCCTTTATTGCAGTCACTGTCTATCAACGTAGTAAGGTTATAGTAATTGTACTCTACCTGCTGTGCTAACATCCCAGTGACCTATTTGTGTTGTGTTTGCGAATTAGAGTGCCCCTTAATCCCCTGCTCCCTATGCACCCATCCTCCCCGGCCCTTCCCCTTTGGTAACCACTAGTCCCTTCTCTGAAAGTTTCTTTTACCTTAAAAATTTTGTTAAAACCATTTTTTAATTTCTGTTAAAAAGGAAGTAAATTTGTCTTGTCTTTACCATACTTAACAGCCTTTTCTCTTCAGAACTGACTGTGGTATCTTCTTAGAGTTGACAGTAGAATATTTTTTGCTTTTTTGACAGCAAGACTGCTTCTAAGTTTGTTTGGGCAGTTGTTTCCACTGCTTCCTGTTCTTCTACTTCCTCTTGTGTTGGTTACTCCATCTCCCCAAGGGGAGGACAATTCAAGTGAGTCAATGACGATGAACAGAAAAACTTTAGGCCTTTTGGCAAAGGAATGGGACCTTTACATTATTTAATTTAATGTTTCTTTACCTTACGGGAATAGGTTATATACTTTTGAGAGGTCTAAATTAAGAGTCCTTTTATTTTTTTAAGTTAATTACCATAATGCTATAGTGCTTAAGAGCTTTTATCTTTTTGCACCAGAGTTTGGCATCTCACTTAAATTTTTGGTGCTTAAGTCTTTAATAATTGTGTTAATAAATGTGTGTTTTCCAGGCAACAGCTGAGCAGATGCGGCTTGCTCAAGTGATCTTTGATAAAAATGATTCAGAGTTTGAAGCTAAAGTTAAACAGGTATGTTTCTGGCAAAGGATACTGTTATTTTTGCAACTTATTCTTTTTAAATTTATATGCTTTTTGCTTAGTCTCAACTAACTGGATTTTGAACTTGTGATTAAGTATTCCTAGATTGGTGGCTAGAATGAAGGAGTTGAATATGTTTATCCTTTTGAGTGACTAGTGTTACATATGAACAATGAGCTAGACATTTGTGAGAGCAAACTGATATTATCTATGCCTGTATATAGAAAATATATTTAGTATTTGATAAGTTCTCAGAAAATTTTTTTTAATGTTAAGGAGCATCTGAATGCCTTTTTTCCAAACATGGTAGTGATTGCAAACACATGGTAAAAAGTGTAAAATTACAATCTAGGCTGACATCTTCATTTAGAACTTTAAAGAGAGGCCTTTTTGATAATTTAATCTTTTTTATTTATTATTTTTTTATTTTTTTAAATTATGGTATCATGTATCTACAATTACAGGAGGAATATTATGTTTACAAGACTGCCCTCCTCACCAAGTCCCCCAAACAAACCCCATTATAGTCACTGTCCATCAGTGTAGTAAGATGCTGTAGAATCACCACTTGTCTTCTCTGTGTTGCACAGCCCTCCCCATTCCCCCATCCCCCACATTATAAACGCTAATTGTAAAGCCCTCTTTCTTCCCCTCTCCCCCCTCCCCTTAACCCTCCCTTCCCACCAATCCTCCCCAGTCCCCTTCCCTTTGGTAACTTAGTCCATTCTTGGGTTCTGTGTTTCTGCTGCTGTTTTGTTCCTTCAGTTTTTTCTTTGTTCTTATACTCCACATATGAGAGAAATCATTTGGTACTTGTCTTTCTCTGCCTGGCTTATTTCACTGAGCATAATACCCTCTAGCTCCATCCATGTTGTTGCAGATGGTAGGATTTATTTTCTTCTTATGGCTGAATGATATTCCATTGTGTATATGTACCACATCTTTATTCATTCATCTACTGATGGACACTTAGGTTGCTTCCATTTCTTGGCTATTGTAAACAGTGCTGCGATAAACATAGGGGTGCATCTGTCTTTTTCAAACTGGGCTGCTGCATTCTTAGGGTAAATTCCTAGAAGTGGAATTCCTGGGTGAAATGGTATTTCTATTTTGAGCTTTTTGAGGAACCTCCATACTGCTTTCCACAATGGTTGAACTAATTTGCATTCCCACCAGCAGTGTAGGAGGGTTCCTGTTTCTCCACAACCTCACCAACATTTGTTGTTGTTTGTCTTTTGGATGGTGGTGATCCTTACTGCTGTGAGGTGATTTCTCAGTGTGGTTTTAATTTGCATTTCCCTGATGATTAGTGATGTGGAGCATCTTTTCATGTGCCTGTTGGCCATCTGAATTTCTTCTTTGGAGAACTGTCTGTTCAGCTCCTCTGCCCATTTTTTAATTGGATTCTTTGCTTTTGTTTGTTGAGGTGCGTGAGCTTTTTGTCTATTTTGGATGTCAACCCTTTATTGGATCTGTCATTTATGAATATATTCTCCCATATTGTAGGATGCCCTTTTGTTCTATTGGTGGTGTCCTTTGCTGTACAGAAGCTTTTCAGCTTGATATAGTCCCATTTGTTCATTTTTGCGTTTGTTTCCCTTGCCTGGGGAGATATGTTCACGAAGAAGTCACTCATGTTTATGTCTAGGAGATTTTTGTCTATGTTTTTTTCTAAGAGTTCTTTGGTTTCATGACTTACATTCAGGTCTTTGATCCATTTTGAACTTACTTTTGTGTATGGGGTTAGACATTGATCCAGTTTCATTCTCTTACATGTAGCTCTCCAGTTTTGCCAACACCAGTTGAAGAGGCTGTCATTTCCCTGTTGTATGTCCATGGCTCCTTCATCATATATTAATTGACCACATATGTTTGGGTTGATGTCTGGAGTCTCTATTCTGTTCCACTGGTCTGTGGCTCTGTTCTTGTGCCAGTACCAAATTATCTTGATTACTGTGGCTTTGTAGTAGAGCTTGAAGTTGGGGAACGAGATCCCCAACACCCCCCTACTTTATTCTTCCTTCTCGGGATTGCTTTGGCTATTCGGGGTCTTTGGTGGTTCCATATGAATTTTAGAACTATTTCTTCCGGTTTGTGAAAGAATGCTGTTGGTATGTTGATAGGGATTGCATTGAATCTATAGATTTCTTTAGGCAGAATGGCCATTTTGACAATATTAATTCTTCCTAGCCAAGAGCATTGGATGCATTTCCATTTGTTAGTGTCCTCTTTAATTTCTCTTAAGAGTGTCTTGTAGTTTTCAGGGTGTAGGTCTTTCACTTCCTTGGTTAGGTTTATTTCTAGGTATTTTATTCTTTTTGATGCAATTGTGAATGGAATTGTTTTCCTGATTTCTCTTTCTGCTAGTTCATTGTTAGTATATAGGAAAGCCACAGATTTCTGTGTATTAATTTTGTATCCTGCAAATTTGCTGAATTCCCCTATTAGGTCTAGTAGTTTTGGAGTGGAGTCTTTAGGGTTTTTAGTGTAAAATATCATGTCATCTACAAATAGTGACAGTTTGACTTCTTCTTTACCAGTCTGGATTCCTTGTATTTCTTTGTTTTGTCTGATTACTGTGGCTAGGATCTCCAGTACTATGATGAATAACACTGGGGAGAGTTGGGCATGCCTGTCTTGTTCCCGATTTTAGAAGAAAACCTTTCAGTTTCTTGTTGTTAAGTATGATGTTGGCTGTGGGTTTATCATGTATGGCCTTTATTATGTTGAGGTACTTGCCCTGTATACCTATTTTGTTGAGAGTTTTTATCATGAATGGATGTTGAATTTTGTTGAATACTTTTGCAGCATCTATGGAGATGATCATATGGTTTTTGTCCTTTTTGTTGATGTTGTGGATGATGTTGATGGATTTTCAAATGTACCATCCTTACATCCCTGAGATGAATCCCACTTTGTCATGGTTTATGATCCTCTTGATGTATTTTTGAATTCGGTTTGCTAATATTTTGTTGAGTATTTTTGCATCTGTGTTCATCAGGGATATTGGTCTGTAGTTTTCTTTTTTGGCTGGGTCTTTGCCTTGTTTTGGTTTAGGGTGATGCTGGCTTAATAGAACGAGTCTGGAAGTATTACCTCCTCTTCTGTTTTTTGGAAAACTTTAAGGAGAATGGGTATTATATCTTCACTGTATGTCTGATAAAATTCTGTGGTATGTCCATCTGGCCCAGGGGTTTTGCTCTTGGGTAGTTTTTTGATTACTGCTTCAATTTTGTTGCTGGTAATTGGTCTGTTTAGATTTTCTGTTTCTTCCTTGGTCAGTCTTGTAAGGTTGTATTTTTCTAGGAATTTCTTCTAGGTTTTCCTGATAATGTAATCTTAATCATAATCTTTCATATCATTCTCATGATAAGACTTCTTTTTCCCTTCAAGAGTCTAGATACTAAGTTATAACACTTATCTCACTCCAAAATGTGTAGAAGTCTAGCAGTAATTGTTTCGTGGAGTGAGTGTTCCCCCAGAGAACACTTTTCTCTCATCAGACTAATGGTATATTTTTATTGAAATATATGTACTATTGCTATTGCATGCTTTAGATTTGTGGTTACCAAAGGTTCAAGATTTGCTTCTTTACTATCTTACTGTCTATCTTAACTCGCTTTTTGAGCTATTATAAACACTGTCTGATGATTCTTTATTTCTCTCCATTCTTATTCCTCCTCCCCCATTCTTTATATGCTAGGTGTTTTATTCTGTGCTCTTTTGTGTTTCCTTTGACTGCTTTTATGGGTAGTTGATTTTATTTTTTGCCTTTAGTTAGTATTTGGTTGGTCTGCTTTCTTTGCTGTGATTTTATTTTCTCTGATGACATCTATTTAGACTTAGGAGTGCTTCCATCTAGAGCAGTCCTAGAATACCCTGTAGAGGTGGTTTGTGGGAGGCAAATTCCCTCAACTTTTGCTTGTCTGGGAATTGTTTTTAATCCCTCCTTCATATTTAAATGATAATCATGCTGGATACAGTATTCTTGATTCAAGGCCCTTCTGTTTCATTGCACTAAATATATCATGCCATTCTCTTCTGGCCTGTAAGGTTTCTGTTGAGAAGTCTGATGATAGCCTGATGGGTTTTCCTTTGTAGGTGTTTTAATACTCTGTCCTTGTCCTTGATCTTTGCCATTTCAATTACTATGTGTCTTGGTGTTTTCCTCCTTGGGTCCCTTCTGTTGGGAGTTCTGTGTGCTTCCATGGTCTGAGCCACTATTCCCTCCCCCAGTTTGGGGAAGTTTTCAGCATTTATTTCTTCAAAGATACTTTCTATCCCTTTTTCTGTCTCTTCTTCTGGTACCCCTATAATGTAGATATTGTTCCTTTTGGATTGGTCACACAGTTCTCTTAATGTTCTTTCATTTCTTGAGATCCTTTTATCTCTGTCTGCGTCAGCTTCTCTGCGTTCCTGTTCTCTGATTTCTATTCCATTAATGGCCTCTTGCACCTTGTCCATTCTGCTTTTAAGTCCTTCCAGAGATTGTTTTATTTCTGTATTCTCCCTCCCAGCTTTATACGTTAGCTCCTGCATTTTTCTTTTCAGCTCCATTAGCGTGGTTATGACCTTTATTTTGAATTCTTTTTCAGGAAGGTTGGTTAAATCTATCTCTCCAGGTTCCCTGTCAGGGGCTGTCTTGGTTATTCTTGTCTGTATCAAATTTTTCTGTCTTTTCATGGTGATAGAGGTAGTCGTAGGCATTTGGCGCATGTGTCACCTTGGAGAACCAAGGCCCTTCCTGCTTGCCTGTTGCCTTCTGTTCCTTTGAGAACAGAGACCCCTAGCGGCTTGTGTTGGGCAGCTGCGTGCTGATGGGGCCTTTGTTTCTGGCCCGGTGGCTGTGGGGGAGGCTCTGTGTGGCTGCTGTGGGCATGGCCTATTTCTGGCTGCTTCTCCTCTATGGTGGGGCCGCGCCAGAGGGGGAACGGGCTGGAGGCTGTTTATTGCCGTAAGGGACTTCAGCGCTGCGCTGACACCCAGAGTGTTAGGGTGCCCGGAGTTCCCTAGGATTCCCAGCTCCTGGGCTGAGTGTGCCAGGACACTTCCGTCCAGCTGTGAGGCCCCTGTCCCTTTATGACTTTCAAAAAGCACTGTTTTTTTTTTTTTGTCCCAGGGGCGCTGACTGTGGGAACCCGCTCGCAGGTTTTACTGTCCCGTTTCCCTAGTACCCAGTGCATCACGCACTGTGTGTCTGTGCTCCTAGTGTGGATGACTAGGGTTGGGTATTTAGCAGTCCTGGGCTCCTTCTCCCACCCCGCTCCGAGTCCTCTCCTCTCGCCAGGGAGCTGGGGTCGGGGTGGCACTCGGGTCCCAGCAGGCTGCAGCTTGTATCTTACCCCATTCATGAAGCCCTGGTGAAGCCCTGGTGTAGCCCTTCGTGAAGCAGGTGTAGATGTAGCCTGGTTGTTTTCCTGTATCTTCTGGTCTCTCTTTTAGGAATAGTTGTATTTGTTATGTCTTCAAAAATATATATGGTTTTGAGAGGGGATTTCCACTGCCCTACTCACGCTGCCATCTTGGCTCCTTCTCTGTCTAATGGTATATTTTTAGAAGACCATGAAGGGGACTTATTAAAAATGATGGAACCCTTTCTCTAGAATGAGATTTATGTACAGATTGAAACACTTCTACAAATTATGTTGCCTTTTATCTGAATAACATAGCAGATATTGAAAAAAAAATCACTGGTCCAGGAGTTCAGAGTTTTAAGTTTTAATTTTAGTTGTATGTCTTATTAATTCACTCACTTGGGGAAATTGGATACTTGGTGTGTGTCTTTACAATTGCATATGACAGGTGTTGCGTTAATAGAGATCATTGACAAAAATCTGTCATTATGACTGGCTGCCCAAAGACTGAAGGACTGGGAAGCTGTGGAGTATGTAGAACTTCTTCTGTGTCATAATACATAGGGAGGTAATCATAGATATAGAATGGTGTATTGCAAACAGCTGTATTTATAATATCAGGAGACCTGGATTTCAAGATAGGCTTTGATATTAATTAGTTTTTTTGACCGCAGAGAAATCAGTTCAAATGGTGGGTCCTAACTGTTTTGAACTGCAGGTAGTACATACTAAAATAGGTGAAACACAATAGATTGTATATTCGGAGATTATTGAGAGACCTGTATTGTGCCTAATCTGTGATTGATTGATTGTTCCTTGTGGTGAATATGTTAATAACTAGCTTAATCTCCCTTGTTAAAGAGAATGCACTAAGGAGATTTTTTTAATTACTTCAGGCATACATGCAATAATGCTATGTCTAGTAGTGAGTTTTGTGATACTTGCAGAATTCTGCCTGAGACCTCAGGGTATTACAATTTACTATGTATATTCTAAACAGTGATAGCTCATGTAAGGGAATGTTGTCCCTGTACAAAACACGTGGACTGAATGTTCTGTTAATGGTTGCCACATACTCACACACTTGGGAAACCAAATAGTCCCACTTAATATATGAATAATTTAGAGTTTTGGGAAACTCAGGCCATTGAACTATCCTTGAGTAGTCAGGTGATCCTGAGTATTCTGAGAACATTGGTATATACATGTATATGCTGCTGATTAATAATCTGATACTTGGTCAGTTTGGAGGCAGATTGATAGTTACACTCTGTACATATTGGTGGAAAGACAGGGGTGGCACAAAAACAGGTAAGTCTGCACTTGGATTATAAATCCATGGTTTGAAAGGAGGCCATCTTCATGTGGAAGGAAAGAGTGCATACTTTCTATCTTTATTAACAGAGTCTTAAAAATTAACATCAAGTGCTGTTTTGGTTTGCTTGTAACCATTTTCTTATAATTTCAACAGCTTATGGAAGTGACAGGAAAAAATCAGGATGAATGCATAGTGGCCCTACATGACTGTAATGGAGATGTGAACAAAGCTATCAACATATTGCTGGAAGGGAATTCAGACACAGTGAGTTTTATTAATCAGTATTATTTAATTTGCAGTGCTAAGATTTGTTTTCCAATTCCATATTGTGTTTTCAGCTTAACATTATTTGGGGTTGAGGGTGGAGGGAATTAGCGTCGCCATTCCATATTTGTTTTTTTAGTGTTCAACCTGAAATGACTATTTTTGTTATATATGGTTATCTCCATGAAGTCATAGAATTTTAAGACTGGAAAAGAGAACTCAGTCATATTCTCTGTGCCTGTGGACACTTTCGCCATGTGAAAAACCTCTCTCGGCTCAACTGTTACATTTCCTCATCTTGATTATCACCTCTCACTACTCCTTATAGCTCTAGACTAATAGAAAACCTGGATATGCTGGTATTATTTATTTGCTTATGTGTGAATATTCGAGAGAAACATTTTCATGAAAATTTGACGGCTGTATAAAATAAAAAGCGGTTCTTGTAGCTTATCTAAGTTTTGAAGAATGTGCAGGCAAACTAGAGCTCATCCCTTTCATTTTAAGAAGATGCAACTGAAGCCACACCAGGTAGTTGTCAGCCCTAATATTTTGATTTCTATGTGGGGTATCACATAGTATTTGATTTGTATTTTTAAATTGAGGAAACCTTTTCAGAGCACATTAAAACAAATAGTGATTCAGCTAAAAAGGAGTGCAAAGATGAATACATCAAAAAGTGCCTTCCTTGTCAGTCTTCAGGTTTGATCAAGTTCTCATTTTTAGGGCCAGTCATATTAGGGACTGGCTGTGGAAAAATGAACTTTTGTGACCAGTTCAAAGGTAAAATGTGTGTCTTTATTTAATATGAGAGAAGCAGAATGAACTTTGTAATTAAGTTAGATAATTAGGGAAATATTTCACTGTTTGAATATAGAAGTTTCTGTGAGTAAAATTCCGTGCAAGATAACCCTAGTCAACATGATAAAGTATCAAGTATGCTAGTTTGTTGGGGAAACACATCATGATAAGTACTAACAAATTTTTGAGTAGTTTTTGTTTGCTGACACTTAAGCATGTGTTTGGTGGGTTTTATAAAATATGGGGACTGTGTTTAACTCATTGCTAGTGGATGCAGCATTGAATGTCTGTTATTTTCAAAATGAACTGAAGAGCTTAACTGCCCTCTTTACTTAAACAAAAAAAAAATCATGGAATAAGTGAAATATGTCCAAATTGTTAATTGGAGGGCCTGCTACCTTTTTTTCTGGTGGAGGTAGGCTGGGAAACTATTTTCTGTTGCCTTTCCTTTTCTGGAGTAGTTGGGTAAAATTTTAAGTCTTAAATGACTGCCCACTTCTGTGTTTTGAGTTTTTAGCTTCCTCTCCTCATTTGGGACTAAACCCAAAGAAAGTGGTTCTGTACTGAATGTTAGATAAAGAGCATGTCTTTCTATGTGTCATGAATCTAGAAATAACATAGTGGGGGACCAGATCTGAATTGTTTTCTTGGAGGATTAGAAAATAGCAAATTAGGCCTAAAAACAGGCACAAAAAGCATATGCTTGTTTGGAGATTGTGAGAGGGCTGTGAAAGAAATGGAGACGGAGTGTGAAAATTCTTTTGAAATGCTTGTATGTTTAGGATCATTCTATGGTGCATCTTTTCTTTCCTATTGTTAGCCTTGTCTCTTACCTGGTTGATACCTGCAGCAGCCATGGCCAGCCAGCTCTACGGAGTATTTTTCCCTGACGGGGGTAGCGTTAATTAAAGTGGGAGTGTTAGAGAATGTAAACACTGTAGGGTTGCTGGGAGCAGGAACATTTAAAATAAGCCATGAAAGCAGTCTAATCTTGTCCTCTTGGCTAACCTGATCTTGTGGCAGAGTCTCCTGAAACAAAATTATTGCTTTGAAATAATGTGAAGTGAACTTGTCCATGTTTTTAAGGATAAGTTTCTCATGGAAGAGTAGCTGTCACAAAGGAAAACACTGAATGTGATCAATAGTATGGAACTTCTTGTTTCATATAATGGCTGTTTTGCTTGAGTGACAAAATTGCTTTGAGATATCAGTTGCTTACATAAATTTACTTTTTTTTGTTGTATTTTTTAATTTTTAATTTTGGTACCATTAATATACAATTACATGAGAAACATTGTGCTTACTAGATTTCCCCCAATATCAAGTCCCCACCACATAACCCATTAACAATCACTGTCCATCAGTGTAGTAAGATGCTATATAAATACTGCTTGTCTTCTCTGTGCTATATTGCCTTCCCCATGTACTCCACCCTACATTATGTGTGCTAATTGTAATGCCCCCTTTTCCCTTTCCCCTCCCTTCCCATCCATCCTCCCCAGTCCCTTTCCCTTTGGTAACTGTTAGTCCATTCTTGGGTTCTGTGAGTCTGCTGCTGTTTTGTTCCTTCAGTTTTTTCTTTATTCTTATACTCCACAGATGAGTGAAATCATTTGATACTTGTCTTTATTCCCCTGGCTTATTTCAATGAGCGTAATACCCTCTAGCTTCATCCATGTTGTTGCAAATAGTAGGATGTGCTTTCTTCTTATGGCTGAATAATATTCCATTGTGTATATGTACCACATCATCTTTATCTATTCATCTATTGATGGATACTTAGGATGCTTCCATTACTTGGCTATTGTAAATAGTGCTGTTTTTTTTTAATTTTTTTTATTTTGCTATCATTAATCCACAGTTACATAAACAACATTATGGTTACTAGACTCCCCCTATTCTCAAGTACCCACCACATACCCCATCATAGTCACTGTCCATCAGTGTAGTAAGATGCTACAGAATCACTACATGTCTTCTCTGGGTTACACACCCTTTCCTGTGTCTCCCACCCCTACCTTATACGTGCTAATTGTGATGCCCCCTTTTCCCCATTATCCCTCTCTTCCCACCCATCCTCCCCAATCCCTTTCCCTTTGGTAACTCTTAGTCCATTCTTGGGTTCTGTGAGTCTGCTGCTGTTTGTTCCTTCAGTTTTTGCTTTGTTCTTATATTCCACAGATGAGTGAAATCATTTGATACTTGTCTTTCTCCACCTGTCTTATTTCAATGAGGATAATACCCTCTAGCTACATCCATGTTGTTGCAAATGGTAGGATTTGTTTTCTTCTTATGGCAGAATAGTATTCCATTGTGTATATGTACCACATCTTCTTTATCCATTCACCTACTGATGAACACTTAGGTTCTCTCCATTTCCTGGCTATTGTAAATACTGCTTTAATAAACAAAGGGGTGCATATGTCCTTTTGAAACTGGGCTGCTGCATTCTTAGGGTAAATTCCTAGAAGTGGAATTCCTAGGTCAAATGATATTTTTATTTTGAGTTTTTTGAGGAACCTCCATACTGCTTTCCACAAAGGTTGAACTAATTTACATTCCCATCAGCAGTGTAGGAGGGTTCCCCTTTCTCCACAGCCTCGCCAACATTTGTTGTTGTTTGTCTTTTGGATGCTGGCCATCCTAACTGGTGTGAGGTGATATCTCTTTGTGGTTTTAATATGCATTTCTCTGATGATTAGCAATGTGGATCATCTTTTCATGTGCTTCTTGGCCATCTGAATTTCTTCTTTGAAGAAGTATCTGTTTACATTCTCTGCCCGTTTGTTAATTGGATTATTTTCTTATTCTTTGTTAAGGTGCATGAGCTTTGTGTATTTTGGATATCAACCCCTTATCGGGTATATCATTTATGAATATACTCTCCCTTAATGTAGGATGCCTTTTTTCTACTAATGCTGTTACTTGCTGTCCAGAAGCTGTTATTTTGATATAGTCCTACTTGTTCGTTTTTGCTCTTGTTTCTGTTCCCCATGGAGATGTGTTCATGAATAAGTTGTTCATGTTAATGTTCAAGAGAGTTTTGCCTATGTTTTCTTCTAAGAGTTTTATGGTTTCATGACTTACATTCAGGTCTTTGAGCTATTTCGAATTTACTTTTGTGTATGGAGTTAGACAGTAATACAGTTTCATTCTCCTACATGTAGCTGTCCAGTTTTGCCAACACCAGCTGTTGAAGAGGCTGTCATTTCCCCATTTTATATCTGTGCCTCCTTTGTTGCATATTAATTGACCATATATCTGGACTCTGTATTCTGTTCCACTGGTGTATAGGTCTCTTGTCCCAGTACCAAATTGTCTTGGTTACTGCAGCTTTGTAGTAAAGCTTGAAATTGGGAAGTGAGATCTCCCCTGCTTTATTCTTCTTTCTCAGGATTGTTTTGGCTGTTGGGGTTTTTTGTGGTTCCATAGAAATTTTAGAACTGTTTGTTCCAGTTCGTTGAAGAATGCTGTCATATTCTGATAGGGATTGCATTGTAACTGTAGATTGCTTTAGGCAAGATGGCCATTTTGACAATATTAATTCTTCCTACCCAAGAGTATGGGATGAATTTCCATTTATTAGTGCCCTCTTTGATTTCTCTTAAGAGTGTCTTGTAGTTTTCAGGGTATATAGGTCTTTCACTTCCTTGCTTAGGTTTACTCCGAGTTATTTTATTCTTTTTGAAGAAATTGTGCATGGAGTTGTTTTCCTGATTTGTCTTTCTCCTAGTTCATCATTAGTATATAGGAATGCAACAGATTTCTGTGTATTAATATTGTACCCTGAAACTTTGCTGAATTCAGATATTAGATCTAGTAATTTTGGAGTGGATTCCTTAGGGTTTTTTATGTACATTATGATGTCATCTGCAAAGTGAGAGCTTAACTTCTTCCTTACTAGTCTGGGTGCTTTTTATTTCTTTGTGTTGTCAGATTGCCGTGGCTGGGACTTCCAGTACTATGTTGAATAAAAGTGGGGAGAGTGGGCATTCTTCTCTTGTTTCTGATCTTACAGAAAAAGCTTTCAGCTTCTCACTTTTCAGTATTATGTTGCCTGTGGGTTTGTCATATATGGCCTTTATTATGTTGAGGTACTTGCCCTCTGTACCCATTTTGCTGAGAGTTTTTATCATGAATGGATGTTGAATTTTGTTGACTGTTTTTTCAGCGTCTATGGAGATGAGCATGTGATTTTT